TAGCAGAAGAAATCGCAGAATTCAGCAATGTAACGCCTATATCAAATTCTTTTTATGATCATCAAAATGGCCGTCTCAAATTATTCATTGCACAGGATACATCCATTCTGCGCCAATGGGGAGAATAATTTCTAATATGAATGATGCCTACCATAGTCCACCCCAAATGGCATCACCTCTAGGCTTAAAATGCTATAAATGAACCCGCATTTGGGTTTATAACCTCCGTAGCATTCTTTCCTTTCAAAATTACATCCAACATCGTGAAGTGTTGACCTGTACCACTGTATCCTACCATAACGCATGGAATGCTCGTGAGCTGGGTCAATGTTATGGACAAGAGGTAACCTCCATTAGTCCCTATTAATATATGCATAGTATACTATAAAAAATGTTATCCACCTCTGCATTCCGCAAGAATCTTTTCGATTTCTGGTATGAAGGAGAATTCCCTTTTTAGGGGAAATTACTCTTTAGAAAAAATAATTTCTAATTTGTACATTATTGGGCGCAAAATTAGGCGGCCTCTCTGTACATCCTGTCCATACACAAATTGCTTCCATGGCTTATTGACCATCTGTTTTTCGCCCTTCAGTGTTAGTTTATTTGTCTCTATGTGTCTACCCATTTCACACGTTTAACATAAATATAAGAATCTTCGGAAGGCATCCTAAAAGTGCAATATTCTATCTCTCCCTTATCCAAAAAATACGCTTCAAATATGAGTTATGCAAAGCAAAGGCATAGCCGAAATCGTAAGCACCATAAGGAAAAAGTACTATGATAATAATAAGAACTATGTGGGGAATTTTTTCTATACATATATGTAATGATATGTATGCATATCATTATGAAAATGTATGTTTTCTCTAGAGTCATAAGGCGATCATTACATGGTAAGTGCCGCAGACCCCACACCACACATGCCACAATATCTGTCTAGGTGTGTCACTATGGAAAATATACAAAAGAGAAGTCCTCCGCCATACCAATATAATAAATCAAATAATGCAAAACTTAGTAAATAGGTAGCTATACATTAAAATTTTGGGAAATATCTTTGAGGATATTCCCTCTTGTCTGTGCAAGTCTCCTTTTCCAGTTCATATATGCTGATGAGAGGTGTCTATACAGGATTTTCAGCATATGAGCCCCAATCATAGATCCATTTATGTACTACATATCATAGAAGGAGAACGTGTATATAAATGAGCACATTTAATGCAGGAATTATAAATAGACGAACAATTTCACGAATGATGACGCATACGAAATTGGATTCAACCATGAACATAATATTATCTCACTGCTGCAATGTTTTAACACCTAATAATACATTCACGCAGCCGTACTATAATCATAACTAATGCTACATCGCTTAAACTATTCTTAAGTCTCATCGGCTAGGATGAACTCACTAATGTAATGTTATGTATTATGACACACTATATGGGTGTATATATAGTTATAATAAAAAACACATCAAGGAGAATATTGAACTCGGTACATTTCATATACTATGTGGTGAATTATATCTTATAATAATGACATAAAAGCTTCGTAAATACATAAACTCTTTGCCAAAAGATAGTATCCCACTCACCTGATGCAAATAATGCGCAAAAAATTGATAATATACACTTGATTCCTAATACGCTATTATTCCAAAATTTACGCGCACTATATTTAACAAAATATATAATTTCAATGGGAAAAAAAAAAAAACTTACATTTATCTAAAAACACAATTCTTTATTTACTGCCCACTGCGTCAAAAAGAAAAAAATGCACTACACGCAGAATAAAATGTAGAAGCAACGAATAATTTTTAATGAAAAGCGCTGTAGGAAAATATTTTCGTGGTATTGATTCTATTTATATGAAAACACTACTATAAAATCGTTTCCAAGTACGATTTTTCCGGGTGAGACATGATTCTTATTCTTGTGAGACAATTACAACCACACTGAGTTCATTTCTTGCATTTATATTATTCACACATAGCAGAGTATCTTCACAGTATACCCCGCTATTTCCTGTAATTACACACGCGGATGAATGAAATATCTAATTAATTTAAATTTTTATGATAATAATTACTAATTATTCAGCTCACAAATGTACGCCCGGTAATTCACTCTCATTTTTGCTGAAATAATCATATTTAAGAGAAACAGAAAAAATAGTAGACTTTGAACTACATAGAATAAAGTAATCAGTCTATTCTCATCATTCATAAGAATTATTTACAGAGCCTTTTATAAAAGCCTTACATGCAATTGAAGTGCACAAAATGTGGAAACTCAGCGCACAGTGTGCATTAACAAGTTTCACTTTGAATGCGTTATGTTGTATATATAGACTTCTCTTTATAAGTGAAATATAATCAAGACAGAAGTATATTGTACGTATAAATCATTTTATGAGTGACAACAATCCTAACAGAAGTTTATACTAGAAATAAAAAAGTATTAATTTATAATAAATAAATAATACCATAGTTCTTCTACCAGAAAGATTAACCTGTCTCACACTTTATCCTGTAATATATGAGTTGCAGCAATGACGTGAAAGCCACGTAATGAAATATAATAATCACTTCCTATTGGTAATAATCAAATTTATAGTTGTCTCAACGAAGAAAAAAAAAAGACCAAGATAAATAAAGAAGAAAAGGAAAAAATAAAAACAAAAATGAAAAGAGAAACAGAAAGAGAATTAAACGAGAGGAAGCATTAAAAAGTAAAAAAATGAAAATAAAAGAAAAATAAAAAAAGGAGAAGCTAAAGAAAATAAGAGAAAATTAAAAAAATAAGAAAAAAAATTAGAGAAAGAGAAAGAAAATAAAGAAAATAAGAAAAAATTAGAAAAAAAAGAAAAAAAAATTAGAGAAAGAGAAAGAAAATAAAGAAAATTAAAAAAATAAGAAAAAAAATTAGAGAAAGAGAAAGAAAATAAAGAAAATAAGAAAAAATTAGAAAAAAAAGAAAAAAAAATTAGAGAAAGAAAAAGAAAATAAAAAAAAAATTAAAAAAAAAAGAAAAAAAAAATTAGAGAAAAAAAGGAAAATAGAAGAAGTTAGAAAAATAGAAAAAAAGAAGAACAAGACAGAGATTGAAAGAAAAAATGAAAAAAATAATAAAAGAAAAAAAGCGGAACAAAGATTAAGAGGAAAATAAAAAAGAAATGAGAGAAGAAGAAAAAAGAGGCAGAAAGAAAAGAAAAGTAGGAGGAATAACAACAGGAAAAGAGGAGAATAACAGAAGGAAAAAGGGAGAAAATTATAAAAAAATGGAAAAAATAAGAAGGAAAAACAAAAGAAAAAGGAAAAAAAACCCTAATGATTCCTCCGATGCTGCTCTTGTGGAAACCACATATAAGAATGTAAACATCAGATATATATACGTAATTCTTCCATACTTCAGTGCCCCCATTTCAAACCAACACCGTGAGCACATTCATCAAATGATTCATTTGAATTCTCATATACTACTCTCCGAAATCAACCGCAAATATGTATGAATTTTCCACTTTAGGCCGGTGATTCATAACTCAATCTAACGGAGTCTGCTTTGTACATTACTCACTTTACCAATCTGTACATTAGACGGGGAATTCCACAAGTACTGAATGAATCTTTGCCCAGAAGAAAATACGACAATAGAAACGATACTTCAAGAGATATACAAATGACGGGGAATTGATATTACATACTGCTAACTAACAGGATTTCTTATTTTACACCTAATTCTTATCTTAGCAGGTTCCAAATATCAAAGAACAGGGGAGCACAGCACGCTGATATCTAAAGCTATTCTTGTCTTGCAATTCTCAAAGAACGACACGATATCCTGACTAATTCTAATTACAATGCATTCGGTAAAACGGAATTTACTCTATAACTTCATATAAATGGACTAAATATGTGTGACTATTTCTTTGCAATCACTTCGCATTTATTCTGGAAAGGACATTTTTATAGCAAGACTCAGCAGCAGCAGCTACATGTCCACAGGGTATTCTGTCTTCGCGTCTTGTCCAATTAACATAAAACATATCTAAATAGACTCCATATAGCGAAAGCTAGAGGGAAATTCCCAAATCCTGTCAAATGGTTTGCCATTCTGAGCATATATCCCGCTCAAAATTAAAAAGTAAAGATTCTTTATCTTGTCTTCCTTAATGCCTAGTTCCTTCATTAATCCTCAAATATGTCCCCAAAACGTTATTCATGCTGCGATACGCATAATAC